CATTAGATACCAGTGATTCACAGTGGCTGCGACCCATCGGTTGAGGAAAATATTCAATCCAATGAGAATCACAAAGAGATGTGGTCCAAAGAGCACTTGTGCCTCATGAAGAGATATGATAGAAGCTGTAAAATTAGAGGCTGTATAGATAGCAGCCTGCGTCGGAAGGATCTTGTAAGTCGACATCGCCTTTATCAGAATCCGCGGGTACACGAAACCATTGATTACCCGAATAGAGGCACGATAGTAAAACTTATCGCCACGAGCGTAGCCGATGAGAGAGAGAGTAGCGCGAAGAAAGGCGATTGACTGGTAATTTGGGCGAGCAATAACTTTGTCCCCTGCGGATAGTCGTGATACAAGCCGCAGTGCGGTGAACGAATGGGCCAAGCATAAGGTAAGATCACAAGCTGTTGGGCTCGGCTGGGAGTTTATAGCGCGGAAATGGTAGCTGAATAGTTCCGCAATTGGAATGGCAATGTGACAGATGAGAGTGAGATGCCGAAAGGCGTTGAAGTTCTTCCGCCTGATGGGGAGCGATCGTCTGAATGCATGAAACACAAAGACACACGCATAAGTTGAGAAAACCCATAAAGGCTCAACAAGAGTTGTCGCTTTTTCGAGCATCATCCTTAGTGTGTCTTGTAGAGAACGGTAGACTGATTTGCAGTGTGGAATAGACAACGCCAAGGTTTGTGGTCAACTGAAGCCGTCTTTTAACAATGGCTTTGGTTGATGGCGTTGGAATGGGCAAGGGAGCGGATCCCGGGGTTGTACCCCATCTCCACGCACAGGGTTCCAACTAACAGGAGTGCTGTGAGGGGCCTGTAAGGGGCCTGTAAGGGGCCTTAACTACTGTCAGGGTCCCTGTGAGGGGCCATCGCAGGGATTCCGGCGTTAGCGTCTGGGCGCACTCGAATCAGCCAATCATGCCTATCGTGCCAGTCATGTTCAGCCATACCGAACAACTGAACAATACTTTAGCTCTAGGTTGACTAGCTCGGAATCATTTGTAAAGAGTTCGAACTGATGGATAGATCGTTAGGCGTTGCACTGTACCATGTTCGTCAAATTTCAACTTCTTCCAGCAGAAATTCGACTTCTGATCTGGCAAGAAGCCTGTTTTGATGAAGCTCAGCCCGGTGTCTGTGTTTTCAGGCCGAGCAAACGGACCGAAAACAGCTTCGAGCATTCAGGACTAGTCGTCAACATAACACATCCGCCATCCATACTCTCCGCGTGTGTGGAGTCTCGAGTCCTGGCCATAAAATTACTGAAACTACGGCGTGTTGAGGCCTCTACGCGATCCGAAAATACAGAGACTCAGGCTCCAAGCCCATGGATGCGTCCTTATCACCCTGAGACAGACGCATTGTTCGTCAGCGACATCTACTATAACTATTTCATGACGACCCTTTCCTGCCAAATTGGCCTCTCAGACCGTGGGTCGCCCAGCTTGTAATCGATGAAGGATCGCTGATCCGGCGGTTTGCAGGGTCTCTGTTTCTCAGCACTGCCGACTTCGGTATTCCGCAGCTGCCCACTTTGAGGAAGTTGTCCATTGCAAGCCTTGAGGACGAAGACATTCACGTCAACCCAGCACAACGACTTCTGGACTTAGTTCCTGATTATCATGCTCTTTCAAGCATCGTTGGTGGAGTCCTTCTCTCAAGTCTCATCTTCGCTGCAGGCCGGAAGGTTCACATGGACGCGCCAAAAGTTAGCTTTCTGAAGAAACGGCCTTGGTTCGTAGGGGAGGCTGATGATTGATCTGATATTGGTTCACCAAGAGGACGCCGTGGGATAGCTCATGTCCGGGACGGAGGTTGGTTCTCACAGGCGAGCTTCCTCTGCGCAGTCCCACGACTCATTGAGTAGCTCCGCCGCCGGGCTTCGTAGTTGCGGCTCGCCACGAGATTCGCTATCTTGACGGTCAGGAGCAAGTATTATCATTGTACAATGGATCATTACTCGTCACATGCAGCAGAGGAGCAGATATTTTGTGCTCGTGATGGCTTTAGGCCTGGCGCAGGCTTCAAACCCCCAAACGCCGCCCCCCCTGATACCTGCCACAATGTAACATTTTCTCTGGTGACATCAGCTTATCTCCTCTCGTCTTCGAGTTGCTGGTAATGTGTTGGTCCGCAAAGATGGTGTACAGAGTGACAGGCATCGATCAGGGGAGATCCGAGCGACCGGGAGCAAGGCAGCCTTGCCTAGCCAACGCTCTCTTCTGCAACTATTTATGCTCATTCCCTTCCCGTCCTGACCTACTCTTCCCTCTCCAGCTTCTCACCCATACTCCTCAGCCATACTCCTCACCCATACTCCTCACCCATACTCCTCACCCATACTCCTCACCCATACGTCTCTTGGATCTCGAGACCATGTCGCATAGCTCGGGACTATCAACATGCCAGCCTGGAGAAAGTGCGAATCCTACAGGCAGTCAGGCTCCCGAGGTCGAGATTGCCAGACGTCGCAGCGCTGCCTCTAATTCAGCTCGTATCCACCGAACGATGCCCTCGGAAGTTGCAATTGCTCGATGCCCGTATCAACCAAGCTCTGCAGCAGGGACGCCCCCTCCCGGTAACGGTTCGTGGCCATCAACGTCTTGGGCACCTGGGAGTTTCAAGATGCAGCCCCAGGTCCCAGTCGCATTGCAATACCAACGCGCATGGAGAGCCCAGAAATGAGGTAAATTTCAGTGTCCTTGCTGGAGTTGATGGTTCTTCTTCTCCGCAAAAACCCCGCAACCTCTCAAGGTTTTTCATGTCCGCTGACGTTTTGTGATTAATTTCTTTCCCTTACGCGAGCAGGTCGACCCTCGTCAGCAGATCGAGGATCTCCATGACGCCGTGACCTGGATCAAGCAACATCCTCTGGTCGACGAGACCAAGATCGCATTGTGGGGATTATGTTGGGGAGGAACGTCACCCTTGCGGCGACTGCATTTGAGTACGTGTGGGCTGTCCTTCCGGTTTCACGCAACGAATTTCGCCCAGACTCGCCGTGGACCCTCAAAGCTGATTCAGACTTCTTTTTCTTTATTTTAGCAAGCGTGTGGCGGCCACCATAGCCATGGCACCCATGATCAACACGGACGGCAGCGCCGAGAGGCGCAAGCCGCTGTTGGAGCTCGCCATGCACGACCGTGAGAGCCGGCTGCGCCAGGCGGGCCAGAGCCCCATGTACCTGCCCTACATTGACGAGGACGGCAACATGCCCAACGGGCAGGAGATGGCGCCCGAGATCGTCCCCGCGCTCGAGCGGCTCGGCATCGCCCTCGAGAACCGCATCTCGGTGCAGACGTACTACTAGTGCCTGGGGTGGAGCCTGCTCCACGTCGTCAAGTACGTCACGCCCACGCCGGCCATGATGGTCACGCCCGAGCTCGACGAGACGAGTCCCCTGGACAGCCAGCTTCATTGCTTCACCCAGATGGGGTACCCAAGGAGTTGGATATCTTGAAGGGAAGTGGTCATTTGGACTGGATGTTCAAGGATCTAGAGCAGATTCTGCGCAGGCAGTTTGACTTTCTGAAGAGACACATGGAGTTCTGAGGGAGTTTTATTACTATGTATAGAATAGTATAGAATAGGGGGCCGCCGTCTATCCGGTTCTAAAACTTTATGTTGAACTTCTATAGCCGCAGGAGTACAACGTTACCCATCTCGCGACCTCTAGTGTATTTCCGCATGGTCCATTTCCGCCTGCAGTTGTTGAATGATGCGCCTCAGTCTCTCGCGCTCACTGGGTATGTTTTCGACAATCTCTTGCACATACTCAAGCAGACCACTGCGGCGCGGCGTCGAGTGGTGGGCTGATGTGGCCGACGATGCAGTAGACTGATCGGGGCCAATGTCAATGGCATAGTCGTCGGTGGCCATGGTGCTGCCGTCGAGCATGGCCGCGGGTGCGATAAACTGGCTCTCCTGCTCAGCCGTCGTGTTCGATATCTCCAAGATGCGGCCCATTCGACTGATGAGATGCATCAGCAATTGCAGCACCATGACGAACTGGGCGACATTGAGAGGTCCCACGCCGCTGTTGTCTCGGGCGGCGTGTTGTTGTTGTTCTTGCTGTTGTTCCCGCTCTTCTTTCTTGGCCTGCAGTCTACCCTTTATGGCATCGCAGATGGCTTGGAAGAGCGTCATGAGGTTTTGGTGACAAGCGAGAGCCGAGATGGCCAGTTCGGCGCAATCGGTCGTGGTCATTGACTCGTCGCGTCCTGCTGTCGCTACCGCATTCATGATGTCGTTGACGGTGCTTATCAGCGTATTCGTGTCCTCCAAAGCCTCGGTCACCTCGGGCGACGACACCATCAGGGTGGTCGCGCCTGCTCCTGTGCCGGAGCGGGCTAGGCGGCGGGCTGTCCGCATGACCCTTTGGCTCACGGCCGTCAGCTGGGAGAACAAGAAGCTCCTAGCGTCTTCGTGGTCGGCGTCGGTCTCCATCAATGGAGCTGGGGCGGTGGCGTCGTAAAAGGACATCCCCGGCATGCATGAAGCAGATACAGCGTCTGCTAGCAAGTTTGCAAGTGACTCGCGCGAAGTTGGGGGCATTTGAAGTGCCAGCAGGTGGTGCTCGGCGTCCGGCGCACCGAAGCCGCCGGCAGCCGTCTCGCTTTCGTCAACATGCAGGCCGGAAGAAGGGTGACCCATCAACGCTGTCATGACGTGGGAGGGACCAGTCGATGACCTGGGCGTCCCATCGACATGACCAAAGGCCGGCCCGAGGTCGAAGAGGTCTGTGCTTCTAATTTCGCTCGGCGAGCGAACAGAACAGCGTCGGCGCTGGCCTCGTTGTTTCTCTGTGAGCGATTGGTCAGCTTGTTGGGTTTCATCGTCTGTTGGTCCGCCCTGGCACCCGTACCGCTGTCCGTACCACTCTTTCTCCCCCGCCAAGTAATGTTACTGGACGACGAAAAGGATGTGCGGTTGGTTCCTTGATGAAAACGCATGAAACATACCACTGTACCTGCATTCCGCTCCTGCTTTAGCACAACGGTCGCACAACAGGGAAGCGGAAACCGGGCCTGGGCCTGGGACAGAGAGACTGTTGTCTCGCAAGCACCTCACTTTCTGCTGACGACAACGGTCGCAGGACTGGCGGTGTGCAGGTGGCATGGTATGCCGAAGACAGGCGGCCGGAGATGAAGATTGAGGAGATTGAGGATCGGCTAAAAGAAGCACTTATTTCCGGTGAAGAGTAGCGATGGGGAGGATGGCCCTTTTGGTGAAGCTGGTTGCACGGGGACCAGCTTTAACCACGATATCCGCTTCGTTTTCACTCGGCGCTACCAATCATGTATTTTTCCTGCAGTGTAATTCTCGCAGTTTCCTAAATCAGCTTCGGTTCTCCTATTCATCCGCGGCCGACTTACAGCGCTGGACGTCGATGATGATGTGCTCTTGTTCGCACCTAGCTATGATCACATCAAGCTATGATATGCGGTCAACAAATCCTCTGCGACGTTGGCTAGTATAAGGTGCATAAGTATTGCGCCATCTATGATATGGTACGCTGAAGAAAGGTCCCCTGCCACACTAGTTTAATGTACAAGAACACCTTCCTTGTGCCTGACGGAAAGGACCGACTCAGCCGCACGTACAGGTACAGGGCCGAGAGGCAATGGAACCAGCCGAGGCGGTTTCCAAGAGACTTGGCGCGTCCCCACCACCACCAACGTGTTCCTTTGTTTACATTACTACCACACTACCACATTGTCGAACCTCAAGTAGCTTTATTCCATGCCACAGACGGATCACGAGCTACTACAAGCGGAGGGACAGTTGCCGGAATGGTAATTGTATTGTAGTTACCGAGGTAGGCAGCAGAATGATCTCGTTAACTGCAGTGCTAATCAGTTGGGGGTGCGCTAAGTTCCTCGGAAACCATCTCGCTAGCTGCAGCTTACACGACGCGCTCTCATCATTGGCCACCTGGACTAGCAGGCCCCAGGGTCACAGCGTGATAAGCCTTTCGAGGTTGCAGTACATGTTAGTAGTAGGTAGCATTGTGGACGAAATAGGTCAAGTTCTGTCCAGGAGGACAAGCCGGGCCCTAGTGTAACCCCACGACGAGTGCCGATCCTGGCTGTTTCTGTGCTGCTCTGTTTGCTTGTTCAAAGAACCATGCATAGGACCCCTTTTCGTCTTTAAAGTACCATGCATAGGACTCTGTTCAGCGCAAGCTGTCATGTCGTATCTATCTCGTATTTATAAGCGAGCGAGGTTGTTTCGAATTAATAAGCGCATAAGGTCGCGGACATTCCGTTAAAACAAACAAGCGAAATTAAGAAAACTAAGCAAGGCTTCCTCCAGCTACTGTACACCGCCGTTACCATAACGCCGTCACCAACTCATCTCCTTGTTTCCTCTTCTCGAAACTCTTCTTTACCTCGGACTCTCCCATTGTTCAGTTCTCGCTCCCCAAAGTGGTCACCGCAAGCAGGAAACCATGTCTTCAGAAAAGGCCACCCCAACCGGCGGCGACACCGTGTAGGGGGGTTCACAAACTACCGACGAATCACAGCTGTCTCACGGTTCTGATAAGCCAGATAACGAGGTCCAGCTGCAAGCTGACGGCCCCCTGATGGTGGCACTGGCGCCTGGCTCGCTATTCTCGGCGCCTAGTGCTGTTCCTTCAATAGCTTCGGCTGGATAAACAGTAAGCTTTGCCTAAGCTTTGCCTAAGCTTCGCCGGCCCGTCCCGAAGCTGACATAGCGCATTCATCCGGCCCCGACTTTTTCTTAGCGCTCAGGCCCTAACTCTTCTTAGCAGGCGTGGGCGTTTTTCAAAGCTATTACGAATTTAGTCCTCTCAAGGACTACGACAGCAGCACCATTACATAGATCCCGTCGCTCGAGATCTTTTACCTCTTTTTCATAGGGCCTACCGTCGGCTTCTTATTTAACAAGTATAGCCCGACGCCGCTCATTCTAGTCGGCACGTTCTTGCATATCTTTGGACTCATAATGGCGTCCCTAGCAACCGAGTACTACCAGTTCCTCTTGGCCCAGGGCGTCTGCAGTACAATCGGTCTTAGCTTTTTATACTCGCCCGGTAGGTTTCTTCCAGGCCCCCACGGCCTCATGGTCCAATCTTTAACCTCATCCGGGAAATCTCGATTTCCTTGCTGACAACACCCCACGACAGCGATTTCGACTATTGCAACATAGTTTCACAAAAAGAGAGGCCTTGCGATGGGCGTTATGGTGACCGGCTCGTCTCTCGGCGGCGTCGTCTTCCCCATCATAATCAATCGCCTAATTGAGAATCCGAGCACCGGGTATCCCTAGGCCATGCGCATCTCCGCCTTTCTTATCTTGGCCCTGTAAATCGTCGCGATATTCACCCTCCGGACGAGAACAGCACTAGCTCCCAAGAAGACGCAGGCCGTAACCCTGGCCGCTCCCTTTAAAGAGTTCCCTTTCGTTATGATGTTGCTGGGAATGTTCATCCTAATGTACGGCATCTTTATTCCGGTCAACTTCTTGGCCTTGCAGGGTTTGGAGCACGCCCACGTGTCCGAATCCATGTCGCTCTACTTAGTGGCCATCTTCAATAGTGCGAGGTAAGTTTAAGCTTCCCGCCCCCAAACGCTAGGATTCGCTTAAGAGGTGGCTAACCTTGCGTACATTACAAAGTCTCTTCGGGCGTCTGGGCTCTGGATACTGGTCTAACATCGCCGGCCGATGGAACGTGTTCATCATCGCCGGTGCCGCCTCAGGCATCATCGAGCTGGCCCTCTGGATCCCGGCCACATACGAGGCCGCCACCATCGGCTTCGCCGTCGCGTTCGGCTTCCTCTCGGGCGCCTTCGTCAGCCTCCTCGCGGCCCTGCCGGCAACCGTGTCCCCTCTGCCCGAGATCGGCTACCGGATCGGCGTCGTCATGCTCATCCTCTCGCTTCCCGCCCTCACCATGGCGCCCATCGGCGGGAGCATCTTGCAGAGCGCGAGTTCGGTCGACGATGGCTGGCTGCACGTCAAGATCTTTGGAGGTGTTATGTCCCTCGCCGGGTCGGCCGTCGTCTTCTACGCCAAGACTCTCTACACTAAGAAGGTCTGGGCGGTTTTTTAAAAGACAGTGGAGGCTACGCACACAAGCACACGCGCCCACCAAGTCAAGTTCACAGGGGCGCGTTAAGAAGGCGTGATTGTTAGTCTGACACCTATAGTGCTTCATCACAGCAGTAGGGGATCAATTGTCGATGCTAGTGAAGGGCATCAGGCCTCAGGCAACATAGGATAGAAACGTCTTGTCATAGCATACTCGTTCGTGCAAATTACTTTGCCTCTTACAGACACGAAGCCGTGGTGCCACGGCTTTGTTCCACAACCTTAAATTCAAGAGAATGCCAAAGCTTACCGTCAAATTGTCTTCTTCCTCAATTTCAGCCAGGGCCTAAAGAGCTGGATAGCCCCGGTAGAGGGTGCCACCCGTGAGATAGTGGCAAGACTTTTAGTATGGTTCATTTTGCGCCGGCAGCTTGTGGCTTGCCGCAAGGGGGTTGGATCTTCGCGTCGTGCAGCTATGCCCACGCTAGGCGGAGATGCCGCTGCGCCATGGAAAACTGCCCTGTTCGATTGCCATCTACGGTAGTGCTACGCGCAGGCTTGCCGGCCGAGCTGCACGCAACTTGGGCCGACCCGTATCTGGGGCCCCTGTGCTCACGCCATCCATTCTTCCACCTTTTTCCCCTTGCCCTCCTCCATCCGCCCCCGTTTCGCCCGGTCTCGGTCACAGCCGCCACGACCAACGGGCCGTGTGCTTCTCACATTGAAGCTCAAAGATCGCCGTCGTGAAACACAGCCACTGCGGAGGATCAGCCTGAAGGTACAGTACGGTATGCATTGAGTAATCGCGGCAGCGAGAGCCAGGCCGCCTCCCTCTATCCTCCCCCACACTACGCAATGCTGCCATGATTCAAGCACGCCTCCGGGATGCGTGCCCCTTAGCCATGTTCCTGAGCTACCAGGGACACCCCTGGTCGACGATGCCAGCCCCTGCATGAAGCTTGATTGCCTGGGTCTGGTGGTGCGCACGGTGGGAATTTGGAGGAGCTCGCCCCTCAAAAAAACCTCTGTGGAGTTATCCAGGCGGTTTTCCTTCAACATGGTCATCACGGACAAGCTCCAGCAGGCCCCTTGCCCACGCGACTGGGCTTGTCAAGTGCGATCGTCCAAACTCTCAATTATTACGACAACCCCAACGGCCCTGAGCCCGGCAGCCCCCCTTTCGCAACGTCCATGGTTGCTTGTCCTCCGCACCGGAGGGTGAGGTCCATCGTCGTATCGGTGGGGGTGGCACATTCGTACAGTCCATCCACTTTCCACGGCACCGTCTGCAGCAGGCTCCGTCGGCTTGTCGATCATCAGCTCCATGGCAAAACAATGGGGAAACACCATCTTGCTGCCAAGACGACGAGTCGAGCTGGGCACCGGACTGCCAGGCGGCGCTCCGCTAGCTCCCCGTTGGCATCGCCATCAATGGCACCCACGAGACAAGCACGAGGTCCAAGCAACCGACGGACTGCTCATCATTGGAGGTCGATGCAGGGGTCCTCACGCGTCCAACCCCTGCCGCACTGCGCAGGGCTACGGCTGCCAGGGGACAACATCCCCGTAGGTGGGCTTGGTGGAGTTGTCTCGAAGTTCGAGTCGAAAACACTTGCAGGCTTGGACGAGCATGGTGACCATTCGGATCGCCAGATCCCGTATAACTCGAGGGGCGTCCCCGGCCCTCCTCGTCTTTCCCGCCTGGTCTCTCTCTCCAGTTTCTCAAGTCATCATCACTTTCGTCAGCCTGTAAAAAAGTTGTTTGTTTCGCCAAAGCCTTTAATCACATACACACTCCTTCGACACTCTTTCCAACACACACACACACACAACACCGCCAACATGCAGATCAAGACTGTCGTCCTCTCCTTCTTCGTCGCCGCCGCGACCGCCCAGAGCCTCCAGGAGCTCGTCGCCTCCGTCCCCAAGTGCGCCCAGCCATGCATTCAGAAGGCTGCCGCCACGGTTGGCTGCGGCGTCACCGACCTTGTCTGCCAGTGCAACTAGGTCGAGGAGCTTACTGCTGCCGGCACCCAGTGTGTCGCCACCAGCTGCACTGAGGTCTCTGACCTGACTGGTGAGTTTTCTCATGCCTCTTTTCTTTCTATCAGGCTCTCCCGAAAAAAAAGCAAAGTACTGACTGCCACTGCTATCCAGCCACCTTCGAGATCTCTGCCAAGATCTGCGCTGCCGTCGCCGCCGGCGCGGTTGGCGATGCCGTCTCCAGCAAGGTCAGCTCCGCCACCGCGGCCATCGGCGCCGCCACCAGCTCTCTCGGCAACCTCGTCCCCTCCGCCACCCCCACAAAGTCTACCACCTCGACTCCCTCCGCGACTCCTGCCGGTGCCATCCGCAACGGCGCCGCGCTCGGCCTGGCCGCTGCTGCTGTCGTCATGGCTCTCTAAATTTTCGAGGCCATGAAGAGTGTGTAAGCTGGAGAATGGGCAACATGAAGGTTGCTTGTATGGACGGAAGCAGTACAAGAAAAGACTGCCTAAAGTCGGTTGGGCTGTGGTTACTTATTCAGATATCCCCCATTATTGTCGTTTTTGTGTTCACGTAGCGTCACAATGAACTGTCGTTAGTCCTATGCGAGGATGTGTGTGATCCGAGATTTTATCGTGCCTGTCCCTCCCACATTGACCATGGATCACGTACATGTACATCGCAGCATATCGGGTCGGTGTTGGTAGCTTAGACGGGGTCTCGACTATTCAGTTGTGTTGTGTCATCGGCGTGAAACCACAAGTCTGGCTGTAACACTCGAGCTATGACAACCTTTCCAGCGGATGCTTGGCTTGTGGCCGGCTTTCCAGTTCCGTCTTATAAAAGTCTTTTGGGGGGGGGGGGGGGGGATAATCATTGCTCGTCAGATCGCCATCTGCGCAGGCCAAGAGCAAGAGGAGCACAACTGCCCGGGACTGACCATCCTCGCTCGATACTCACTACACAGCCAGATCCGCGCATTCAAAGGCCATAACTATCATGAATGGTCTAAACTTTCTCTCGATGTGTAATTCTAGTTGGGGGTGTGTCTCTTCGTCTATCGGCGTCCTGTCTGGCGCCTTCTGTATCCGACCCTCTGCCGCCATCAAAAAAGTGTATATACAGAGTGTATGAAATCAATCGCCCATCCCACCTTCTTTCTATGACGGAAATCTTACGTATGCAAGCTAGCTGAACAGGACGTCGGAAGGGGGACATGGACGTGCTGAGCTCGGGGTATGCCAACACCGACCCGACCCGACTGGCCTCAACACAAACACAAATTCCATTTGCGGGTGTGTGCCTTGTCATCGCAAGTGAAAGAAAACAGAAGTCGCTCTGTTGCCACGAGGCACGGCACAATCTCCTTTTTGTTGAAAGAATGGGTGAGAGTGAGAACCCCTTGCGACCAAGCTCATCTCAAGACTCAACCTCAACCTCACCTCAACTCTAACCCAGCGAGAACCGGCCTAGCATGCCCTCCTCGGTGCCGCGGAACTCGCCGTGCAAGCCCTCGAGCGCGGCAAAGTGGCTCGCATACGCCAGCCCGCGCTGCAGCTCGGCCTCGGTGCGGCGCCAGTCCCACTCACCATCTACCGCCGCCCCTAAGGTGTCTTCGCTCTCTGCCGTGGTTGACGGAGCAGCGGCGACTGGCTCGGCGGGCTTCGCGCGCGCCGTTGGTCCCCTCTGTCGCGTCTGCCGAGCCGTTGGCCTGCACCTTTGCCTCCTTCTCTTCCTCGACTACTGGCGCACTGCCGTTCTGGGCAGCAGCACCAGCACCGGCAGGAGGAGTCGACACGCCGCTGCTGCTGTTGCTGCTGCTGTTGCTGCTGCTGCTCTCCTGGCCCTCCGGGGGAGCAGTGACCCACCCGCCCGGCCGCTCCGGCAGGAGCCCACTCGCGCCGATCAGGACCGCCGGGTGCACGGTCAGCCGGCCAATCTTGAACACGTACTTGCTGATGGCGGTCGCGTAGGCCATCTTCTCCCACCCGGCGGGGAGTGGCTTGCCCGGCGCGTGCTTGCCGCTGCCGCCAGCGACGCCCGGCTCGAGAAAGTGCGTGACAATGTACATCCACTTCCTGTCCCAGGCGAGCACGCGCGAGTACATGTCGTACCTGGCAAACGGCCTGATCTCGCGCTTGAAGGAGCACGACACGGAGCCCAGCATGACCCCGAACTTGCCCCTGGCCGGCCGGCCCGTGGTCGGGTCCAGGACGAGCCCGGTCTTGGCGTTGTTCCCCGCCAGGTGGCACCCCTTTGCGAGCAGGTGCGCGATCAGGTGTGTGCGGCTGACGTCCAGGTCGGCAAAGTAGGTCGAGTTGGACTTGTGGATGTTGTAGTCGACCTCCATGAGCGAGGTGTGTGTCGTGCTGATGACCGGGTGGAAGAGCTTGTCTGGCGAGTGCGAGTGTGGGCGCCGGACGAGGAAGTGCTGGATCATGTTGCCGAGGACGCGGACCTGTTTTTGGGGGGGTTTGGCTGGTGTTAACATGTTTGTAGTTCTTTCAAGAAAAACGGTACGGGGGAAGAGCAAGGCGGGCGGGAGGGGAGAAACAGAGAGAGAGAGACAAACGTACACTCCACGCAAACGGCAGGCTCTTCCAGTTGAACAATAGCACCACCAGCGCGAACAGCCGACTCCATTTCCTAGGACCGGTCAGGAACTTCTTGAGCTGCAGCGCCACGTCGACCTTGTATGCGCCGTACGCGAGCGCCGGGACCAGGACCGGGCCGGCGACGCGCGTGATGCGCCGCATCGCACCTGCCGAGGAGGCCATGTTGAGTGAGGGCCTGGTGTTGCGCGAGCCCGGATTGTGTATGTGTGTGGTCCTCGTGTCAGGAATCTAGCTGATCTTGCGTGTAGCGCCGCCGCTGCCGCCGCCGCCTGTGCTGGGTACTCGACGAGACTCGCTGCGCCGGCTGGTGAACAAGGCGACGAGCCGGGAACGCAGGGCGCCGAGGAGGACGAGGGCAATGACGAGGGCCCACAGCGGGAGGGTGCGCAGCCAGCAAAGCAGTGTGTCGGCACACTTGGAGGCGATGTTGGCGCTGCTGTTGGGCGCAAGAGGCATTCGCGAGGACCGGGTTGTCGTGAGGAAAAGGAGCGTCAGGGCCGGCAGAGGAAGATGAAGCCAAGCAGTTCGGATGGTCCGGTTGGCACGTGTAAGTGGAAGTTGGCAGACGGGGACCTGACCCAGCAGATAAAGGCTTCAGGGGTCAACGGGTTCGCAATGGTTGGTTGCCCTGAGTGCGGGAGCACCCCTGCCGTAGCGCCACTTTTTAGCGTACTGACACTGACGTCTCGGCCATCCCGTCAGTGCTGCGCCCACTGAGCCGAGGCCCATCCCAATACGGAAGTCGGCCATCCGAGCTGGGTTTGGTCGTCCTTCAACGTGCCTACAGCCAGGTTTGTGCACGACACTCAAGCCAATGTTCGCAAGGAGCACAGAGAAAATACTAGATGTCGGAGGCGCTCCCATTGAGTTGCGAGCCAGCATGCGGAAAGAATCGACCGACACAGTTGCGTTCAAAAAAAGGGCTGGTCTAGAATGTTCTGCACACTGACACTGAACAGACAGCTCGTCCGGCCTTCGTAGTCACAATGTCTACCCCAATTCGGCAATCAAGACCCTAGTTCGCTAGTAGTCCCAAAGAAGGTGGACTGGGCCTGTTTTGCGTACATGCAGGCTTAGCCTCGCTACCTCTCATAGCCGACAGTCCGGGCTCTGCAGCTCGCCTTAGATCTGCCATATTCTTGCCGGCCAGATGCTCGGCCCAGCCCATGTGGCGTACCTAATGGCGATTCGAAGTCGATGCCGGGCTTGTGATCGATCGTTCGGCAACGCTCCACATCCTCGGCGGTGATTCTAGCCTCGTACGCGGCTATGTGGGTCTCCCAGCCGTCGTGAATCAACGACTCCCGCCCCGCCTGCGGTCCGGGATCCGGTCCCAGCCCCACGTCGTGCTCCTGGCACCGGAGCGTCGACTATCCAGTACCGTCTAAACTGCCTAGCCGACGAGAATAACTGGAGCGCTACCTCGGTCCAGCTACTGAGGCCATCGTGCTGTGGGCGTCCATCCTCGGCACTGCTGTCTTCTTGGTTCGCAATCCAGTGCTGCGACATGAGCTGCTGGCTTATTGTGAGATACCAACACTCGCTACAGCAGAGCCCCTCCTGGACCGCAAGCTGCTGGATAGGAGTGTTGTCATCTGCCGGAAGATCTGCCATGTATGGGTCTACAAGCCCACCGGTACTAGCAACTGTCGTTGCAGCAGCTGCCGCGAGCTGGATAATCCGCTGTAGCTCGTCCTCTTTCGACTTGTGCTTCCGCCGAAAGTGCACAGTGACCTTCTTGCCCGGTCGGATAGCCGCTTTACAGTGTAAGCAGACTAAAACCCGAGCGGGTTCGTAGAGAAAGACTCTCGCTGCTGGCTCCCGCTCTATCCCTCCTCCCCCCTCTACCGCCCTCACTTCGCTACTTTCCTTGCCCATCGCTCTATCCATAGCTGCCGTGCGCTAGCGTTCGTTTTGCTTTACGGTGGGATGTACTCCCTCGCGTGTTATCGGATTGGTCTCGTATTGACTGGATTTGCCCTTAGCCGTCTTATGTCCTCCTCACTTTATATGGCCGACAAGTCTATCTCGCCCGTCCCGCGTTGCCGCGTGCCCCCTTGTCGCGTCGCATTGTTCTCCGTTATACGAGCTATCACATTAAACTTTAGTGACCCGGCTGGGCTCGGGGGATCACCCGGGCTCAGCTACTTAACCCCAGCCGTTACGCGTATCATGATGACCTTAATTGGAGTAACGTAGTTGACCTCAATGGTTCTCAATTAGTCCGTAGAGAAGCTTCAGCCTTTTATTTCAACTTAATTCTGACCCCTTCTCCCCTCTAACATTACCGCTGGTTCGGTTTAGCTGAGATATGTCGCGAACTATTAGGTAAGAGTTCGCGGGTGTTCCTGGCAACCCCAATAGGGTACTACTCGAGCCTAGATTCGGTCTTAGATAGCACACTATACTATAGTACGGTCAGGAGATCTCGTTCGGCGGGGGAATGGATGAGGAGTAAGGCCAGATAGATTTGGTATTAGAGAATGCAATATAGGAAAGTGGCTTTCTAGATACATTTACCCTCTCAAGTTAGAAGCCTACTCTCGACCAATCATCTATTGTCCCCACCGAGAAATCACTAGCTCAAGTTATTGTCCCACCGCATTATATCAAGCTGCCGATGGCCTCCCAGACTGCGCATTCTCACCCCCATTCCGACAGGGCCATCCAGCCCTCGATCTACAATTTCAACACCCCCACCCCCTCCAATCAGCTGCTATGGCAACCTCCATCCAGCACCTCTTATTATTCGTCGGCTTCAATTGATATGCTTGAAAGATAGAACACGCTGGATCATATCTGTAATTGGGCTATCGTGAGCGCCAACACACGAGGCGAGGACCCCGGCAGAGTGGGGCTTTCCAAAAGGAAGAGGTCGTTCTTGAGTACGCCTTCGTGCACCTACCTATTAAAAGGGCCTTCACGGCATCCACCTCACATCATAATATGCAATAGCTGTGGATTTTCTAGACTCATTGGTGTTCTTTGAATTCCATAGAAATCCACTGCTGGACTCTCTATTTCGAGCGGCATCTAGCTGGTGTCCTGAACGGAGGTGGGCCGGAGACTGAGAAAGCGGGCCCACCGTGATCAACGAAACTTTGCCTGCAAACGATGGCCAAGCATCTGGTCTGCGAGCGTGTGGAGAATAGCTCGCTCCATATGCATGGGTGCTCTGGGTTCTACGAGGCACCGGCTCAAGGGTGGCCAGCTACGGGCGGTCAAATCAGCAGCGGCAGCAGTAGCAGAAGGCTTCCAAAGGCACGTGGACCCATACGAGGCAGAGCCCCCGGTGGGCGGCAGTCCAACTATCACGGAGCTGCAGGTCTACTCCGGATTCTGCTGTATAGCGTGCTGATTCGTGACAAGAAGGCGGGAAGAGATTCAGAAGCACCGGGCGAGAGAGGCGGTCAGCCATGATCCCGGCCAAAAGGACTGTTCGGCAGGCATAGGCCACACGTATTGGAAAGAAGTGCGACTACAGTCGTTCTCGTCGGCAATGCACCGCACGCGGTACTGGGTCGTAGGAACGCCGGCAGCGGGGCAAGCTACCACGCATGCAAGGGCGGAGCCGGGGCCGGATGGCGGCGGTGGAGGTCAAGACTGTGAGGCCAAGATGGCGGCAAAAGTGGTGACCGAATATGCGGAGTGGGGCCGGACATGGCCGAGCTCCAGCGCGTAGCTGGTCTGCATGCCAGCTCTGTCCAGGATCCAGAAGGGCCTGGTAATGATCATCGGGGGATCTCGCGTTGTCACGAATTAGGCCTCTGCGTATCGCATTACAGGTCCAGAGGGATTGGCGCGTAAGTATAATACTCGGCGTAATCTTCTGCATTTGGGGGTGCCTTAATGGAGAATCTGACTTTAGGTCGCTGTGGTGGTGCCCAGCATGGCGGGGGAACACACAAAGCAGAGGCGGCTGGGCTTGGCTGCTGGCACACGAGTTCGCTGACAGGCTTGAGGGTGGGGAGTATTCGCCGGCTGAAATCCAGTCTTTTTGATGGAGTATAGGGCCTCACCTCTCATGGCGGTGGAGAATGTGGTAGAGTGGATGGTTAGGATCAGAGCGGAGCGGGCTGATGTGGTCAGTGAGGAAGTCGAAGTCTTGAGCCAAGAGACATCGTCCGTGACACCAATCTCAGGCGTTGTTCAGTCTTCCCAGCACACAGCAGAGGAGTTGCCGGATCAAGATCATACATCAATGCAGTCAGGTCCAGTTCCCGGGCCGTCGGCTTCCTCCCGACCAGAAACTCCAGGACCCGTCTTGGTCGTCCATAATGGACCCACGACTTCCTCAGTTCAATCCCTCAGCCATCGTCCCTTCTCAAAGTGCCCAAGCACATCCGCCACAGACTATAGGAGCATCGCAAGAGCATCTGCGAAATGGAGACACACACTCAGAGAGACTTCATTTACGACTTGCACTATGGACGGTCGAACTGAAAGGACCCCCAATACCTCACTCCCCGTGTCGGGCCGCCTTAGTGGTCCTACCGAGCTACACTCTCTTGAAACTACTAACACATCGACATGTATAATTGGTGCGGTAGCCTCGGATCAAGGCTTGCTCTCCTCAATCTCCGTCGCAATCACGCCAACTAGCCCTGATGCAACGAACATGGCCTGCCATTCTCGAATCTACAAGAATCGCAGGTGTGGGTCTGGGGAATCTCCTAAACCAGATACTGACGGAGAGCCTATTCTCCCTGTCGACACCGTGTCCTCTGACAGCTTGACTACGGTGGTTCATGATATTACTGTCTCGGCAGATCTATCTTCGACTACTGAGTTACAAACACATCTGGCTTCTTCTGCATCGTCACTATGGGGCTCATCGTCTCCTTTGGCTACGGGTCGTTCAATTGACGGAGATTCGGCGTGTACCACTTTTTCAGACCTCGACGAGTCTTTCGAAGAAGGCCCCGAAGCCCCGGTTTTCGAAATGTTAAGTTGCCCTATACATACCTGTTCGATGGTCGAGTCGTCGTCCTTGCGAGGTCCTCCTTGCGGGGCAGTAGTGCTTTGGTGGCAACAAAGAAGTCAGTCCGACGAGACAAGACAGGCGTAGGTAGAGGGCCTCGGGTGACTCTCCGCGAGTCCGTCACGCACGGCGCCGGCGGGCGATCCTGGCACTTGTAGCGTGGCGGGACGCTGTGAGCCGGCATCCATAGAGCGGAAGCATTTCGCTCAGGTGTCCGATGGACAGTTCCGTGTCTCTAGAAAGTGTGTCGCGTCGCGGACCGGACTGTCAACGAAGTGCTGCTTCCTCCCAGCCTCATGGCAGTGCTAGGAAGCCAGCAAGGCGTCCGCGGCGCCATCCCGACTCTGAAGGGCCTTGGTTGCGAACTGCGATTGACGTTGTGAGAGCGCGGCACAGGCTCGAAAGCTGATACGGCTGCCAGCCTACCAGCGAGGGCGGGGCATTTTGCGGAGCCATGGAGGCCGTGAGCACGAGCAGGAGCGCTCGGGTCGGATCGAGAAAGCGTCGGCGCTGTCGGCCGTGGCCTTCAGTGCCAGATGGGAAATGGAGGCGTCTGTGCGAAGCTCATTAGTGGACGGCCAGCTGATAACCGTGGAGACGACTGTTGCCTTACCGTGTGTCCTCAGTATGTCCTCCGTTTCCCGAGTCTCCGCTGTCTTATGTGGACGTGAGCGGGGGCATCCACAGACACGTTGTTCTCGCGCTTGACGCGACTGACGCGGTGGACGGGTGCTGGCCGGGTTCTCTTGGCCAGAAGGCTTCTACGCGACGCTGGACCTCAACTCTTGGGATCCTGCACGCTACTCTAGCCCCTCTTCTCTCCGCTGGCGACCCATGATACGGCTTGCACCGTGAGAGCACCCCCACGGACACTGTCGCTTCATGGCCGCAGGTATCGCGGGCGTAAGTCCTGTCGTGCTTTGCCGCAAGCACAGCCTCCTGATAGCCGCACGAAATGCACAACGGGTTGGGGGCCACGAGAGTGCCTGTAACATCCCGCCTCAGCCACACATGAAAGGGCAGGTTTAATTCGTCAGGCCAAAAGTCCCTGCATGTCCTGGAGTCCCCTCACAGGCGAACTGCGTCGCCGTGGCCCCGCGTGAATCGTTGACCGAGGCCGCGACTTTCGCGCCCAACCACTCCAGCTCGTCAGCCGCTGGCATGCGGTGACACCTTTGCTTGCTCCAGAAGCTGAGCCCACCTTGCATCGATGACCAACCCACCCTCAGCGAATAGAATTCCATCTGGCCCTAAACTCAACTTTGCTGGATGTTGGGCAAGGGAAGAATACGGTAAAATTTAGCTGACCCGAAGAGGCGAAAGCCATTCATTGCACCGCTGAGAATGCAACGGTGGGGCGAAGCACACGTCTATCCGACAAACCGCAGGAGTCCTGAGGCCTGGCCATTGGGCCGCTATTGTCGCGCTAGATGCGATGTGATGTGGCTTCTCCCGGTGTGATGTGGCGGGAGAAGCCACCTATCAGCGGTCTCGACACAAAGCGCGGCTGCGCAGGCCACCCCTTCACTGGGTTCTGTCGTGAAGGACAGCGTACAGTATGAGGCATGTATGTGTTCTGTCCTGGTGATTTTGAGGTTGAAGCTGCTGTTATACACAGATGGAAGTGGCAAATATGCTAGGCAGCAGAGTACTGCCTAATGGTCCATTCAGATACCGAAGTCTAAGTCTTCCAATGCCTTGAGAGGCCCGTGTTACGTGACAGGTTCTTCAAGCGGGGCAAATCATTCGAGCGCCGCTGCATTCTCTGCTCAACACACAGCATCTGCTCCTCTTTCGCCATCATCTGTGCGTCCAGCGAGTCTGAATTCGCCAGAAGCTGCTGTCCCCTCATTACCGACTCGAGAGATCCCATAAATGGATGATAAGCCACTATGTCTGCTAGCATTGGGTAAGCTTGTGGACCGAATCTGCCGTCACTCCTATCACTGACCACTGCACAGACGGCGGGGGCATCCGTGGGCTCTCCGAGCTCGTGGTCCTCGAGGAGATTATGAATCGGATCAAGTACGACCTTGATGTAGACGGAGATCTTCTGCCGGCGGATTTCTTTGACCTTATCGGCGGCACATCTACAGGAGGGTAAGAGGAGAACACTGTTGTCACCACTGTTACCCGCGCCGGAGGCTAGGCCTTTCCAACCTGTGGCCTCCGGTGTGTCGCAGGGAAGAGGGTCCAAATGACAGTAACCTTGGGCTTTTTGGGCCTGATTACGTTGAGTTATTTCCAAAAACTTGATTTTGACTAAAGTTGATGTTAGAAGGTCGGATCAGCTTACTTATCTGCTGCGGGGTATACAGCGTTCCGAATTCGACATGTCTTCGGATCCTAGGATCAGAGCGAGGACGCCCGTCGATTTGGTCATTGACAACGATACCCGGTGGCTTTCTCAACTGTATATGATCAGGCGAGCCATCACTCTTCGGCCCTACCTCGAACAGCTCATATTGAAGCATCGTCAACAATGGGAGCAAGAAAATAGGTCGAAGAGGACAGGCAATGTCCGGAAGTCAGCCAAGGAGCCCCAGATCTGCTTGGAAGAAAACCAGCTAACAGCCCATGATTGGGCTGTCCTCGAGCACCTAGCTACGGTTCTGGGGTTCTACGAGGATGCCGTCAAGACTCTAGAAGGCGACGGTCAAGTGCGCAAGCGGAAGCGTGGATGGGTTGGCTCCTATGGGAATGTATGGGAAGTCATCCAAGGCTTCGAGTTTCTTCTGGAGGTCCTCGAGGAGAATAAGCAACTTGCGGCCGGAATACCCGACCCGGAGCACTTCAGAATCAACGTTAATTTGGGGTGGGAGAAGCTGAATAAGTACTACCGTGCGCTGGACGAGACGCCGATCTATTATACGGCTTTGGTCCTGCACCCGGCTTTCCGATGGGGATATTTCGAAAACGAGTGGAAGGACAACACGAAATGGGTGACGAAGGCGAAGCAAATGGTTCGAGAAGTGTGGGAGACGGAATATCGTCACCTGCAGGTAGCACGAAGTCCCGTGGTACATGAACCGATTGCTAAGCGACAGCGGAAGTACTACAACCCTTTTCAGGCGTACTGTGAACGCACTCGACTAGTCTCTGGATGCAGCACGGTGAAAGAGGAAGTTTCCTGGTCCGACCATATTGATGAGGATGTGGACGAATTGGAACTATGGCAGTCGTAAAGGGAGGACGGGGACGGCGATGTCAGAAACCCAATAGCGTATTGGCATGAGCGCAGACGACGATATCCGCGCCTGTCGCGAATGGCGCTGGATTTCCTTACGATTCAGCCAATGTCAGCAGAATGTGAAAGATTGTTTGCAGCGGCAGGACGCATGGTGACAGCGCTGCGAAGTCGGCTCGATGCTGATATCATAGGGATGTGTCAAGTGCTTCGATCGTGGTTACGGGCGGAGTGATGGACGACCTGGACGTTTTGCTTCTTCCCGTTGAGGAGAGTGCTGTTGACGAGGGTACAGTTCAGGAGAGTACTGGTGATGAAAGGGGGGTCAAATGATGTGGATAGGAAATAGAGGACGAAATGCCCGAAGTGAGAAGGCAGAATAGAAATATGCGGGCTGTGTGTAAGACGTCAACTGGTGGACATTCAACTCAATTTGACCCCCAATTGGACTCCACCGGAAAGCATCGTTGACTAGGTCAACTCAACGCAACTGAGGCACTTGGTGGATTGAATTGAGTGGTGCGCACCCTTGTGCATCGCTCAGCTAAGGCTCGTCTTTTTGAACAGAAAAATCAAGCCAAAAAGATTTATTTGCGCCAAAGCTATTGTTGGAACATCGGCGCGGACGGCGCTGGCAGGGGGCCTCCCTGCTGGTGCTTAACCACGTGACCACCCTGGCATATACCTTCGCGCCCGACCGGCGTGCGCGCCCCTTTCCTTTACTAAGAACATCATCGACTATCAGAAGCTTTAATACAAACGGTATTACGGCTTCCCTTGTCGAGTCCCTATGGGGTTATGCTTTCACCCCTGTGAGACCTACAGCTATGATTGAACTGAAATATTGAAAACATCGTTGGTAATTTTCGACCTGTCTCTCTGTACGATAGGCTCCCATGGTCGGAAATGTTGAAATGGTAGAGTATGGAGCCTTGATTGACTGTCCTTACCCCTCGAACATCGGGGGGAACCGGCCTACTTATGTTTTTGAGCCTGTCATGCTAGGTAGAGTACATTACGCAGCTGCCTCATTTCAGCAGGAAACAAGACGCTGCATCCTGGATGTCAAGCAGCCCCCAGCTCTTTTGCAGTCGCTGTCGTACTTCCCCTGGTCCCCGCCATCTCCAGAACTTTCAGCTTTCATCCTTCTCGTCTTGTCCCTCGCTTTCATCTCATCTCTGGTTTTCGCCGCGAGCTCCGCATTTACATGGGCATCCTTTAGGGTGGCGAACTTCACATGTTAAACGCCACCTATATAGAGTTCAGGTGACGCAATTCTAGGAGCAACTCTGCGTCTAATACAGTACACTGACAATGTGCTGGAAACCCCTCCCTTCACCGAGCCTAGTTCTGTCAGCCTCTTTGCATGTGATTCTTATCCAGAGGGGTCGCAGCAAAAAGGCCGGTATAAATGCTATCCCCACCACCACAGTAGTGGTTGTAGGGATCTCAGACCACTCGAAAGCGCTGATCTTTGCCGTATTGTAGCAAGCCTAGTGGCTGAGCTAGTCGGTACATTGAAGACAGGGGCGTCACAGGGGGTCCAGCGGTTGAAGACGCTCTGGCTCATATTGGCACTCAAATTTGGTACTAGAACGGGATAAGGGCGTCGAAAAAATAGTCCTTGGCATGATTTGCCCCCTGCCGCAGCAGTGGCCAACCGCCAGCGGTGGGGAGCCGATCAGGCTCTAAGGCGAGCTTGGTTGAACGATTGAGGGCTCGTGAGGACCAAAATCAGGCCGAATCGGCTTACCTCTTTTTCTTATTCGTGAGATTGCATGGTAATAGAGCGGTGAGTGGTAAAAAAAGTTGCCAAATGTTAGGGTGGCCAAATGCGGGGGTGGCGACTTAATATTCTGTCTGATATCAGCGGCGACGGTGCAAAGCATTAATGGAATCT